TTTTTCTCTTTCTCTTTTTCATATGGTCTATTTAGCGTTTGTTTTATGTTCTGGAGGTGTCGAAATACATTTATGGGACACGAAATTCGCATTTCTTATACGAAAGTGAAAAAAAAACTGATGAAATACTTATTAGCGATTCAAAAAGTGAAATAAATAATGTTGAGATGCTCGCAGAACGGCTGTCCGCAATGTGTCAAAGGTACCTCCCAGGGCAAAAAGTGCCCAGATTTCCTAGAAGCGATTCGAATTTCGGGATAAACCCGCAAATGCCTGAGAAGAGGCCCATTGGACAAACAAACCTTGCAGTTATATCTATGAACTCTATACTTTTGTTGTTATGACACACTGCTATGTTGAGTGACGAGTGACGAGACTGCTCGTTGCGTTCTCGTGTACTGGCGATGAAAAACGGCCCAGTTGCTCTACACCCTCTCTCGACTAATGATGACACTTTACACTCGATCCATCAACCAGCCCGGAAAAAAACGACCCTGGACGAGCGCGATCACTGAAATCAGTGATGAGTTTCGTGCAGGGGCTTTTCATCAACACACACACCTGAACGTTCTTTTCTTTCAGTATGGCCTGCTTGCCCTACCGGATGGCGTCTATTCTGTGGAACCGATCGCTGCCGGCGGCAATTCGTCGAATATTAAACCAGGTTAGTATCGGAATATCAGGGCAGTTTAGCGAGGGGTGCGGTGGGGGCATTTTGCTTTCGCTTCGTCACAATGACGTGTCGAACTATCTTTAGAGCCATTTCGTGAGCTTACAGGAGTTGACAGGTTCTACCATGATGGCTAGACGAGCTTGCTCCAGCTTCACAAGAGTTCACAGGTTTCACCAGAGTGAGACTTGTAAACCGGAACTAGTGAAGCAGCGAAAGTGCAAAATGCCCCCCCTTCCCGAACTGCGCCCGGAATCTCATTGCATTTCACACGCTTTCTGTTCTCTGTACTCACGGTTCTATTCAATGCATTGCACCTTTTCCGTACGTATCGACAAAAGGCATGACGTTGGAATCGTGCCAATTCTGAGCGCTTTATGTTATTGCCGACGTGATTCGGATGATTCAATGGCAATTTCAATCGACAAGCGATTTTTCCACGCGCTTCATGTTTTGCTTCCGTATATTTCACAAGGCGTCATGGGGCCCAGAACGATTTTGGCGCAACCACTGGTGCGTAACGAGCCTAAAGGGAGGGAGAGGGTGAGAGTGATTCTGAATAATGTCGGATTCTGATGGCTTCTCCTCTTATTCGATCAATATTAGGTTGGATGGAAAAGAAGTGAAAAGGTGCAGTGTATGTCATCCCTTTGAGGTGAGAGGGGAGTGGGGAGGGGTCATATTTAGCCTACTCCAAGGATTTTGTACAGGAATGGTGGTGGAGAGTAAGACGTATTTCAACTAGAACCTGTCGTTTATTGGGGATCCCCAGCGAGGGGCTCGTGTCTGGTCGGTGGAACGAGGGTGGGAGGACGTACTTGCTTTCCACAAAAATGTTATCTTTTGTTGACTTTCCTCGGTTTCTCCTGTTTCACTGGCGCTCTAGCCCTATAGACCCCCCCCGTCCCTGGCTTGACGACAGCTTTTAGAGGGTAAAATTGGAAAGTGTTTCAGAACACTAAGGAAAATGGCAAAAAGTTGTAGAGATTTTAGAAAGATGGTAGGCAGTATGGGCGGTGTGGATGGAGGAGGAGATCCCTCAAGAAGAGGAAGTTTTGAGGAAGAATTGAACCCTGCAAAGTTCCTCCCAACTGCAGAACGTGCCCTGCTTTCAACTTTGTTTAGTGCGCTGTAGACCCCTACCCCTCTCTGCTCTCCCACTTTCCCGACGACGGGGTTTCTCTGAAAAATTCAGTTTTTCTTGGCAAATCACATGCAAGGGGTGGGAGAGGGTAGAGTAGGAGTGAGGGACGGGTAAAGAAGTGGGAGAAGGATGAGTCGAAGAAATGGCGCTGGCGTACTTTAGGCGGCGGTGAGGGGTTCCTGAGAGAAGTCGTACTGAAGGACCTTTGTTCACCACTTTACCCTGAAGTAGGGGATCATTCA